ATCCAATGTAATATAATTGAGAATCCCTATGGTGACGTCACCACTGATCGCGTCTAAAACGGCGATCTAAATCCGGCAACGGGCGGCTTTTCCAGTGACGTCACCGCGTATCGTCCGATGTTCTCGCGTAGATGAACTCGGCGCTGGGCTTAAGCTTCGGCGCTATTCGAAGAAACTTCGCTCCCGCGCGCCAAAAGCCTCTCAATCCGAGCGCGGGGGGGGGGGGGTGTTGGGGGGTTGAGGGTCCTCGAATCGAGTCCGTGTCCGAGATCCGCGGAAGTTATCAAGGAGTGTCCGGAGTTTTGTTGGGCCTGACAAAGAAACCCAGAAAGAAACTCCGCGCCTCCCCCGAGCCGCTTAAAAAACCAAGTCAATATTTGAATGCCTTTATCGGTTGTCATGCGAATCAGGGATCTTCGTGTGCGTGCGATCGTGCCGGCTTGCGTTCATAAGTCGCTTAAAAGCAGGCCTCCCGCAAGTCAAAAATAAATTATCCGGGAAATGTCCGAAATCTTCCGGACTATTCTTCTAAATCTTCTGGAAAAATTCTCGATTTGCAAATCTTCCGGAATAATTCTCGATTTACAAATCTTCCGGTAGAATATCCGGAAAGTTAGAAATCTCCCGATTCAGGATAATTATCTGGAAAACTACGGGAGGCTTCCGTGAAATGCTACCGTGGTAGCGAAGAGAGCCGTAAGGGCAAAAATTGGGTATTGAGGAAACGGGCTCAGACAGTGGCGTGGCGTGCTTTGCGATACATCGATTGTTATGCCATTTAAACTCATGGAAAATGATCGATAAACAGGGTGTTCGCCGCGGACACCTTAATAATCGATTCATTATCATATGTTTAAATGACAGAACATCGATACATCGCGATTCACGCCGCGCCACTGGCTCAGACGCGTCTGAGCGGATGATGGGCCTGTTGCAAACTTCAGCTACGGGAAAGAGAAGAGTTATTTCTTATAGAAATGACTCAAAAATGTCGTTGAGCGCATAGGGAAAGTCTGACTTCCACTCGTAACTTCACGATCTCCGTAAGAAATAAACATTTTCCAAAGCATCTCCCTTGTTAAACGATACTCAGGCATAGGTATACATTTCGTAAGTAAAGTCGCTCCATCCAACCCTTGCGTGCTAAGAAACTACACAGTATTCCATATGGTTGACGCTTCCGCATGCAAATCCTGAGGAGGCACTATGGTTTTTATCAACCCAACGAAAATGTAAATACAAACACGCCGGTCTCGTCACGTATATTTTGGCGGGTTGGCGTCGGCTATGTTGAATAGTGCGTAGCATCATAGTGCGCAAAGGTTGGAAGGAGCGACTCCTCTTATTACGGCCATACCTGTGCGTACGCCTGTGCGTGCGGCCTTATGTGTGTTACGGCTGTGTCTTACCTGTGCCGTAGTATCGTTTTTGAAGCGGAAAGCTCTATAAAAAACGCACATTTTTTACGCAGGTCGTGAAGTTAGGAGTGTATTTCAGACTTCTTCGGTGTGCTCATCGTAATTTTTAGGCCATTTTCTATACGGAACAACACTTCTTTCTGCTCTAGCTAAAGTTTGCGACGGCCCATTGTATTGAAAGAAGCAACCGCCCTTTTTCAAATTGCTACAAATCATCCGAAAGACTCTCAGACTCTCATTTTGTGTCAGCGTTCTGAACGCACAACAAACACATTTTAAGGTGATTCGATGGACGCCATATTTTGTGTCAGAACGGCATGCGGTATATCGCATCAATTGGTTCCATTTTTTCACCTACTCGTCATTTTTCTCCAATTTTGAGAACGCAATTCTGTTTTCAGGAGACTAAAGCGCTCACTTATCAATTTTAACAAAGAAATTCAACGTAATAAAGGCGTGGTTTTTTTAGAGAGAAAACATCGCATTCGAGTGCAGTTTCAATATCAGTATCGAATGCTATGTTTTCTCTCTAAAAAAACCACGCCTTTATTGCTTTGAATTTCTTTGTTTCTTTGGAAAAATGGAACCAATTGATGCGATTTATCGCATGCCATTCTGAAACAAAATATGGTGTCCATCGATTCACCTTAAGGTTAGAAATTGCCAGAAATAGGCTTTACTTAAAAGTGCAGTTTTTACTGACTTTCGGCTGGAATAATAGAGATATAATAAAGTTCCAGCACTTGGCAACGCACCGTTTACTGTTCTTCAAACATAAGCTCCGAGAAAATTAATAAGCAATATGAATAACTGTGCAGGAGCTCAGATCTTCTACTTGATCGAAATGCGAGGAGAAATCGGAGAAATTTATCTTATTAATGTAAAAAACAGGAGAGGCGGATAAAAGAAATCATTTCAGTCGAGTTTGTGAGAATAAAAGGAGAGCTTCTTTTTTCACAGAGGGGGCATTAAAAGCTTTTTGAGAATGTTGAAGGGAAGAAAAATGAAAAAAAAAAAGTCACCCAGATCCTGTCTTTTGTTTCTTATGAAGCCCCGTCCCTCTCATGACATTTAGGTCGTTTACTCCGATTTCGTGTTCCCCTTTCTAAGGTGCAACGCGAAAGTTTCTTCTTTTTTTTCGTCTTCTTCTTCTTCTCTTTCTTTTCACGTGTAGTCAGCGTTTAACGAAAAGAAACACTCTTTGTAGGAAAATATGATGTCCGTCGGTTGCAAATATCGGCAAAAGGGACTACCTATGTGTACACTAGGGAGATATGCCCCCTGGCCGCTACGCGGCCCAACCCCTTGATCGCGCTTCGCGCTCTCTTGAGCCCGCGTCCGCAAAAGAACGACCAAAAAAATGGAAAAATTTTCATACCCGACTCTCATTTATCCAATTTTCCTCTGGCCGGGAGCAATTGGACCAATAAGAATCGAATGAAAAAATCGGCATTTATTTCAAACTTCAAGCCAAGACTGAAACGAAACGGAACGGAACGTTTCGTCGCTTTTGGATAGTCTGTGGCAAAGAAGTATACCTACCTTCGATTCACTAACCCTACTAACGGACCAAAATTCAACATTTCCCGCTTACATCATTTTCCGCTAAATTTGAAATTCCCGCCATTTTTCATTGGCGGGAATTTCAAATTTTCAGGGTAATTCTTCTGAGGAACCAGCGACTTTTTCCCATCGTTCCGGCAATCCCGTCAAAGGTAGAAATCGGTACAACATAAGAGATAAATCTGCGGAGCAATCGTCGTGTTTTCATCTCTCTAAATAAATCCTTGCGAAAGGGGGAAAAAAAGGAAAAAACCGAGGCATAAAAACTCCCGTTTAGTTTCGAAAGCCCGGATGCGCTTGTGCCAGGCGAGTCCCTTCATTAGAGGGTTTAATTTTAATCGAGAGATAACTCATTAGGAACACGCTCGCTCATTAGTGATTGAGCTGTCTCGCCCCTTGAATAAAAACCACGCAACTCGCATTTAAAATTGAACGTAAATATGTCGTGTTTGCTCGGCCCACCGCTGATTTAATTTCAGGGATTTTCAGGTTGTGTTGCGTTTTCCTTACACGTTTGTAAATGCACCTATCCGCGCGGCGGAATGAACGACAGTGACGTCGTTTCTGAAATAATCCGACGAAGTTGGTTCCTTTCTGCTGAACTCGGTCGAAATGATCACCATTTCGACGTGTTTCTGTCAAACGAACTAAGTACATTACGACGTGAGCCCTGTTATGCGTATATTCTTATGGGTCTCGGGGCTCATGTCTTGATACACGTAGTTCCGTTTGACAGAGATACGTCCATTTACGCTTGCTGCGGACTCTTTCCTAATGATCCAACTTGCGCCGAGACCTTTGAAATTTAGGAAGTTTGGGAATTCATCAGAAAAACCTGAGGTTTAACGAGTTCGTGTGATCCGAAGTGATGCCCCAGAAAAGAGTGATTAAATTCACCTTTGTTACGCAAGTCCCCGGTTTTAAAATTATTATTGAGAAACATCTCAAATTGACAAGTATTTAATATTGATACGGAGTAAAAGAGGAAGGATACGAATTTAGTGGGAAAAATTGCGCGTTTCTAAGACGTTTCTTGGATGGCCTAAATTTTTCTTGAAATGAAACTAATATGTACTTATGAATATGTCGCAGGTGAATGGTAAAATCAGGCATTTTGTCAAATGCCTACGGAAATAGTCAACTATTTGAACTGAGATTTAAATTCTGATTCTTTTCCTCATTTTAAACAAAATAACTCATTGCCCCTGTAAGGAAACATTTTAGTAAAAATTTGCATCACACAAAAGTAGGTTAAACGATTTTCAGCTCCTGGACAGACACTTATCTCGAAATGTTCACTATGTCATAAAATCCAGAATTTTTAAAATTTCAACATTTAAAAATATGAGAAGAAATTGAAGAGAAAGAGAAAAAAAGAGTTCGTAGGTTTGATGAGTTATTTCTCCAAAAATACGGAAAACTCATGAGCTCTTCGCCATAAATTCACAAAATTTTGTAGACCGTCAAAATTTACCTATCTGCCTAGGCATTTGACAAAATGCCTGATTTCACTATTTGCCTGCGACAGATATTTAATTTGCCAGGTTATAGGATCAATAAACCCTCATCATTGTTGTGATGTAATTAACTGATAAAATTATTTTTGAATTCTTCCCTGCCGAAGGGCTTTGGGAGAATAGAGGACTTTGACGGCTGGGTGTCGCAGAGCGCCGAGGAGCGCTATGAAAACGGCTTTTTTATGTAAAAATTATTCTTGAACTCAGAACTTTCATTGGTGATTCGAAAGACGCATGAAGCACAATATACAACTATCCTTTTTTCTTGATATGGGCGAGATTTCATCAGTTCTGATAACAATTTTTTTACGGAATAGATCTCTGCCACCGATGAATTTTCAACGATAAAATCCACTCACCACACCGAGCTGTTCTTTGTGGTATATTGTTTAGAGAATTTTTTTTAAGTATCAAGAAAAAAGCAAAGTTGTTACCTGAAATATGTAATAAAGCCTCATTAAGATTAGTAAAAAGTTGAAATAATTTTATAGTGATTACTCACAGCTTTCTATTTCAATATGACATAATTGCCTATCCATTGGAAAATATTGTAAATTCATAGGGCAGGATGCCGTAATAGTCAGTCTGGAACAGAAGCATAAAGAAACGGATTATAATCACATACATTCAAAATATTTTAAGCGTAACGAAACACAGTCCACTCTTACCAGAGGAAAAAAAACAGAAACACATATTCCGAGTTGGTGCAATGGGCCCTAAAGTCATACTTGCAAGACGTAGCCACGGAAAAAAAATCTCGGTGTATTTACTAAGAAAAGGGTAAAATTACCAAGAATTCAGGGTTCTATTTGGTCCCAGTTTTTTCTTGGTAAAATTACCATTTATGGAATTGGTAATTTTACCGAGTAATCTCGGTAACATTTTTGAGCTTTCTCGGTAATATTACTGGACCTTGGTAAAAACGTCAATATTTTGTATCGACTGTGGCTGCAGAATTACCGAGATAAAATGGCAAAGTTACCGGGAATTGATTACCAATAAAAGTGGTATTTTTACCTAAAAAAACAGTAAAAATACCGGTTTTTAGTAAGCTTGCCAGTCTCTCTCGGTAAAATTTTATTTTGGTAAAAAAAGTGAGATGGTAAAGGTACCAACGGACCTTGATAAAAACGCCGAGAATTTTTTTTCAGTGCGGGCCCACCACTCCCAGGTTTCCGACAGTTTAATCTTTTGTTATTAAGACAAAATTAAGACGTCATGCATATGCCGATAACTCATAAATTATAAAAAAAAACCGAAAACTTCAGGAGCGAGAGAGGGGTCCGGGTAAATGTTGCGTAAACCTTCCGGTTAAAAAAATTACAATGTACATTGAAATAATTTTTTCCGTCATTTTCAAGCTTCAATCTGTAACACTGAAAACTTGGGGGGGAGGGGGAAGGCAGAGTGTTCAAGCTCATTTTTGGAATTTTAAGGGGGGGGGGGGGTGAGAGGTTGTCTTACGGGTACCTCATAAAGAAGGAGGGGGGCCACAAAAGTTGACAAAAATGACTTCCGTAGAACTTGGTTGGCCCCCAAAAATCTAAATTCTCTTTAATCTAAACTTTCCTTAAATTCTCTTCTGTAAAGGCATTGATAGCCATTCCAGCGATGGAAAAGAATAGTAACGACTGAGAAACTACTTTTGAGGCATCGAGGATATCATCGTAATCTAAACTTCTCTTAAATTCTCGTCTGTGAAGACATTGACAGTCATTTCAGCTTTGGACACAAATAATGATGACTAAGTACCTTTTTTCGAGGCATCACGGTCGATGGAATTATCGCGTATTCCTCAACAAGGAAGACATTTCACGTGAAATTTCATTCAGCGTTAGTCAAGTTTTAATCACTCCTCCGCAACATTTCCTCAGAGTGATACTGCCATGCTGTCATTTTGCACGCGCCTCTCATTCAGTGGCGAGGCTTGAATGATCGATTATCGATATTTCCCCATTCGAAGCTATGGTAAAGAATCGATTAGTAAGGTGCTCGCTGCGTACACCCTACATATCGATCCTTTTCCATAGGTTTAAATGAGACATAAATCGATGTATCGCAACGCACGCCACGCCGCTGCTCTCTTTCACAAGGCGGCAGTATGGGAGCCTGTGTTTGACGAGAAAATTGCGTGATGTCATGTTTTCCGAAGTCGCTTACCCGAACTGATTTCAAAAGCCACCGAGAGTAGGCCGTTACGAGGGGATGGGGCTCTAAACTCCAAGAGCCNGGGGGGGGTCCGCAAACTTTACCCTACTCGGCAGATTCTTGGATCTCGCCTTCCCGCTGGCTGCTCCAGTCTACGCGCGCGACGGTGACGTTTCATTTAGAATCAATTACTGACGTCACACGGTGGGCGAATTTCGGGATTCCTCTGTTCCCACTTATAAGTCTCAACGGAATGGAGATGTTGCATGTGTGAGGAATTTGCGATTTGACTACTGGTTTTATGTAAAAGTTCGCGAGAAACACGATGGTGCCACTGGTTTTCTCTGCAATCAACTCCCAAGCTCAAAAAAAGCTCTCAAGTTGAGGCCAAAATGGAGGGGATATCCCACGCTATCCTGAGAGTCCACGTCTACATCTAGACAAACTCTCCATGCAAAGATAGGGAGCAAATACATTAGCAGGGTTGCCGTGTTTTCAGTTTTGGAATCCCCAAATAAATTGGCAGCCCTGTCAATGTATTTGCTCCCTATCTTTGCATGAAGAGTTTGTCTTGATTCAGAGGTGGACCCTCAGGATAGCGTGGGATATCCCCTCCATTTTGGCCTCATCTTGAGAGCTTTTTTTGAGCTTGGGAGATATTTTCAGAGAAAACCAGTGGCACCATCGTGTTTCTCGTGAACTTTTACATAAGAATCAATGGTCAAATCGCAAATTCCTCACACATGCAACATCTCCATTCACTGAACTACTGGCGCTTGATTGATTTATTGAAAATTTTTAACTTAGTGATTATCCATCCATTAATATCAAATTTAAAGAGGGCAGAACGTCACATTCCGGCCAAAGCATCACAAGCGACAAGCGACGTTTCAAAATGTCCGCCGCTACTTTACTTTTTTAAAAATAAATTGTTCAGTGAAACTGTTCGAAAATTTCACCAAATTTTCTTTTTGCTGCCGATAAAATTCAGTGAAATTTTCAAACAGATTCAACAAACCATTTTTTCTATAAAAAAATCAAATAGCAGCGGAAATTTTGAAACGTCACATGTCGCTTGTGCTACTATGTCCGAAATGTGAGAGATGTGGTCTATTGACATATTTTGTGAGTGAGAAATAGGGTATCCGAATAGCAGTGATCGGAAATCGAAAAAATCGCCGGGAAAAGCGTCCACTACGTGTGGCGCTGAACGCTCAAAACAGCTTAATGCCTCTCTAATACGAATTTATTAGAGCTTTCCCGAATGTTTTCTCTGTCTAGCTTTCTTTCGTTTTCCACCGAGTAAAATGGTTTTCATTTTGCGATAAGGGACCACTGTTTCTGGTCCATTTTAGAAACAACATACACACCATTGGTTTCCCTATGTAGATGTATGCTTTTATGGAAGAGTCAGAGATAGTGGTTCCTTATTGCAAAATGTAATCCATATATTCCCCCTGTTTCAGAGGCGAGGCCGATTTCGTCCACTGAGCGCCACCTTGACAAGGTGGTTTTGTAAATCAAACCCGATAACCTAATTAAATTACTCCCCGCGCCCTCACCTCTCACCCCGCGCCCCACCCCTTTCAGCCCCTACAACCCCTATCACTCTAGATTTTCCGTTTGTTCACGGAACAACGGCTCCGTCTGCGATCGCTTGCCGCGCTGCAGACGATTCAAGCCTTCCGATCGGTGAAGGATCGACTTTCGATATTTCCCCATTAAAGGCTATGGTAAAGAATCGATTTTTAAGGTTTTCGTTGCGAACACCCTGTTTATCGATCCTTTCTCACAGGTTCAATGGCAGATCAATCGATATATCGCAAAGCACGCCACGCCACCGGTTTCGATCGATTAATTTTGACTGTTCCCGTGAAATTTGGCATCCACGTGCCAGTCTGTATATTTTCTGATGCTGATACGAGACTGCTCTCTGTGCAGATGCGCTCCTCGAGTATTTACTCTTCGGTGAACCTTCCGACAAACACTGCCCTGCTCCGTAAGAGCGGCGCCATAAGGACATAAGGCTTTCACCAAACACGGCAGCACAGGATATGTATCCTGCTGTGCAAGTTGCCGTCGTTGCGATTGAAGGAGAGGCGGGTGGCGTTGTATTGCACATTGCATGCTGTCGCGAATCAGGGAGAAATGAAGTTTCTTTTAAGCGCTTAGCCAAAAGGGAGCGCCTATTGATTTCAACCTACCTCTAGAATTATATACTGGTGGCAATGTTATCCAATGGATTGTATTTTGCAAAAAGGGACCGAGATAATTCCAACGTCGCTATAACCGTGCAACTTCTTTTACCTTGCAAAAATAAACTTTGCGCCATCAATTATTAAAAAAATGTATTTTGCACTTAAAACGCAGCCTGACAGCTGAGCGATTCTCGAATATAAAAGTATTAGAACTTTTTCGGTTTTTTTTTATTTTTTTTTTAATTATTTATTTTTCTTTTGACAGCCTTTGGTATAAAGTCTCTGATCTTGAACTCATGCCGCAATCACACGCTGAATATGGGAGCTGAATGTGACTTGAATGTGGAAGTCATCGGTCCTATGCCTGAATTTTGCGCGTGACGCGCAAAATTCAGCAACGATTCTCAGCAACCATCGGACTAATGTTGGATTTGTCTGAACTATTCGAGTGGATTTGATACACATCTGGATGAAAATAATTCGAATTTGCGAAATTTCAGCCGTTGGGCGATGACCGTTGACTTCCACATTCAGCTGCTAAATTCAGCGTGTGATTGCGGCATCAGAAGAAAAAGGAGCTTGGTTCGTTACTGGAGTGCACAAAAGAGAGCAGCACCTGTTGCCTAGCGTGTGAGCGTGTCTTACGCTCCTGTTTGCCTAATCTCGGGGAGTGGCAGTCCGGCGAGCAAATATTGAACGAGTGTGTGATTACAATCGGCGGCGCCGTTTTGGTAGCGATTAATCGATTCTAGACGCGGAAACGATGAGGGCGGGAGGCGGGGATGGTCATCCAATGCCCAGCGTTAGTGAGACATGTACTCCGCTCATTGGCGGATTCAGCAATTTGGCAACCCTGTCTTTTCTCCATTTAAACCTATGAAAATGTATCGATTCTTGGGGGGCCACGTGCTCCAACAAGAATCGATTATTTAGCGTAGGTTTAAATGGAGGAAATCCGGTGTTGCCAAATTGCTGGATCCGCTTCTGAAGCTCGGAAACCGATCGCAACAGAGTCAGGTTGGGTTAAGTTAGGTCACGCAACTAAACTAACTCTCCGGCAAAGCTGGAAGTATCACTCGAATTGAAGGCGCTCCAATCCTGAAGTTGTACACACTGTTTCTACAACTTCGATCAAAGAACTTTCTAGACGCTCTATGAGCACACTATATGCTGTCATGCTGGCAAAATAATCAGCTTATGGATAATTTAGTGTTGCCAAATTTCTTCTGATCGGCGTAA